CTCATGTACAACAGAATGAAACACTGCCCCGTCCTGTGCCAGCCTCACGATCCCTGCTATACCTGAGCCCATCATTGCAGCCACTGTGTCAGTCCATCTTGTGGAGGGTCTTACCCTTTTCTGTGACCCTCCACTTTACCAAGCAGGATATCCTTCTCCAGAGAATGGTCCCTTTTGACATTGCAAAATTCCATCATGTGACCTCCAGTGTTACTTCTATCACCAAGGTCATATTTTCCAACTATCAGTGATTCTTCTTTGTTTCCAACTTGTGCATTCCAATCATCAGTGATAATCAACACATCTTGATTGCATGTTCAGTCAATTTCAGACTGCAAAAGTTGATAAAAAGGTTCAATTTCTTCATCTTTGGCTTTGGTGGTTGGTGCATATATTTGAATAATAGTAGTATTAACCGATCTTCCTTGTAGGTGTATGGATATTATCCTATCACCGACAGCACTGTACTTCAGGATAGATCTTGATACATTCTTTGTGATGATGAATGCCACTCCATTCCTCTTTGTCATTCCCAGCACAGTAGATTATATGATCATCTGATTCAAAATGGCCAATACCAGTCCATTTCACCTCACTAATGCCTAGGACATCGATCTTCATGTGTTACATTTCAGTTTTGACAACTTTCAATTTTCCTAGATTCATACTTTGTACATTCCATGTTCTGATTATTAATGGATGTTTGCAGCTGTTTCTTCTCACCTTGAGACATGCCACATTAGCAAATGGAGGTCCCAAAAGCATTACTCCATCCACATCATTAAAGTTGGTTCTACTCTGAGGAGGCAGCTCTTCCCCAGTCATATTTTGTGTGCCTTCTGACCTGAGAGGCTCATCTTCCAGCACCATATTGGACAATGTTTCAGGGCTATTCATAAAGTTTTCCATTAATATATCAGACAGTGTTTCACTGCTATTCATAAGGTTTTCACTGGCCAGTTCTTTGAGAAGTTGATAGCCTCTTCCTTCTTCTGAGTCTGTCTTAGTCTGGATGCTCCACTGAAACCAGTCCACTATGGGTAACCCTGCTGGCATTTGAAACACCGGTGGCATCGCCTTTAGCTTCACAGAAACACGCAAGCCACTAAAGTACAACAAACTGACAGACAGGTTTGTCTCCCTTAGCTGTTCCAAACCACTCTACTCACTTCCCAGCCTGCTCCAGGCACTCCAAAACACCCGCTTGCCCTGTGAGCCTGGCTTGCTGCAATATTATTTACAAACTTAAATGTGTTTGCAGCTGTGGGTCCAGAGCTCAGCAGACCTCATGAATTACCTTATGCTCAGGAAACTGAGTCAACATAGCATCATGGTTTAGAGCATGATGTTGGTTGTCAGGCTAACCTGGGTTCAAATCCAGCTCTCCCACTTAGTATGTATGTAAACTTAGGCAAGTTTCTTAACTGCACATGTGTCAGTTTCTTCACCTATAAAACTAGCATAAAAATAGTACATACTTTGCTGAGGTACTGGGAATATTAAACAAGGAAACATTTTAAAGCACTTGACTCAATGTTTGAGTCAGTGAATGACAGAATTCTTCTAGAATAGAACTGCATCCACAATTACAGATACAGTTGCATGCACCAACTTCACTGCTGTCACACTGATTTTGACTCAGAGTGACATTGTAGGACAGAGTATAACTGTCCTCATAGGGTTTCCGAGACTGTGATCTTTACGGAAGCTGACTGCCACATCTTTGTCCTACGGAGCTGCTGGTGGGTTCAAACTGCTGGCCCTTCTCTTAGCAGCTGAGTGCTTAACCACTGTGCCACCAGGGCTCCTGTTGCCTACACATGCAGAAACTGGTCTGTAAATTCAATTTGCCTTGTCTACAACTCACAGCTTCTTGCCAATTCCTTTCCTATTCTTAAAAGGGGAAACAGTTCCTCCCCAATCAACTTCCAAGCCTTGTTCTGCATGACAAAGGAGAGACACAGGTGGTAGCACTTGGAGAGGACTGAGCCCTGCACAGGTTCAAAGCAGGAGCTGGGCACCAGACAACAACAGGAAGCTGCAGGAGGTGGTGACCAAACATCCCACAGTAGCCTGCCAGGAGCTGCCCTGGGGCTTCACAGGAACACACATGATGGTGGGAGCACGGACTTCCAAACCAGGATGCCCAGAGCACACAGGGAGGCTTCCTGGGAATCCCACTTCCTGCGCTGCATTCAGAGTCCTTGGGCCGAGCAACCCAGAAATCAGGCCTCTACGGTTTCAAAGCAGTAGAAAGCAAATGACAGGAATAATTATTTTTCTAAAAAATAATGAACTATTATTACTGTGGCTAACATTTTGTAGGTGCCTGTGTTCCCCACTATCCCAGCCACTCTTCTATGTATGTTCTCATTGAGTCCTCATAATCAGTACCATCTTTAGACTTGGACAAGCAAGACTCCTGCCCTGACCCCATGCCTTCATCAACATTGTCTCTGGCCCTTTCTGGGGCCTGGGACCAGCCAGGGCCGGGAGTGCTCCTGGGTAGGGTACCCCACCCCCCCTTCAGGGCCCTCTGGGATTTTCCTCTTCACTCCACTTCCTGCTGCTGCAGCCATGCAGGGGGTTGACCACATGCCCAGAGGAACTCCCACACTCGTGCCTGTGTCTTAGGTCCCAGAGCTGCCTTGATTCCAGGAGAGAAGCCTGGGAAGTGAGCTCTCCTATTTGAGGCTGCTGTGGCATTTCTTCCCCAGGATTGAGCGAGATTATGCTGTTGACACACTGACTTGGGGGTGATTCAAATTGTTTCTTTAGACAGAAGCCCCCAAAAATATTTGCACAGGGTCCCACACACCCTAGGAGCCCACCTGCTTAGAGCCACCACATAGGTCAGTAGTGTTCTGCACACTTTACAGATTGCAAGGCTTTGACTTGCAGACACTAACTTCCCAAAATAATGCATCTAGTAAGTCAAAGAGCTGAGACTCAAATTCTGGAATGTCCATCCCCAAAGCCACAATGCTGAACTAGTCCCCAGATGTCCTTATCTGATCCCACTAAGATATGGATAGTCCAAAGACGACTACCCTTCCCTTGACTCAGGGATCTCTCTGACCCTGTTTGCGCTCTTATTCTCTCATGACTGAACTACTCATGGTCCATTGTCCACCCCACTCTCATTCATCTGCACTTACCTCATCTCCCATTGACTTCCTGCCTTCCCTACCAAAACCAAATCAAACGCACTGCCGTTGGTCTATTCTGACTTATAGCAACCCTATAGGGTTTCCCAGAGGCTTTCCAAGGCTGTAAAGCGTTATGAAAGCAGACTGCCACATCTTTCTCCCATGGAGTGGCTGGTGGGTTCAAACATACTGACCTTTCAGTTGGCAGCTGAATGCTTTAACCCCTGTGCCACCAGGGTTCCTTCCTTCCCCTACAGACATACCTTATCTCTCTCATGGGCATCAACAGCTCATTCCAAAACCAGCTGATTTGAACCTCTTTCAGTAGAAGCACCAAACTATTTACATTTAAGCATGAGCTCCAACAGAAATCTATAGTGTAAGCTTTCTCTCCCTACTTGTGGAGTCAATCTTTGTTTTTCCTCTACAAGCAGATTGGAGGTACCCACCAACGTGTGAATCTGATACTTGAGGGAGATGCCACTAATTACAATAAATATAGTCAGCTCTGAACGGTCTTCCAGAGCTGCCGTAAAAGGTCTGGGATCAGAAGGCATGGTCCATGCTTTCCCCACTCCTATTCCTTGCTCTGCTAAGGAGGATGAGCCTGGAGTAGCAAAGGCAGAGACACAGGAGAATGAGAGAACCAAGGAGGTCACCATCAGCGTCTGCCGGAATCTGTGTCCTGTCCTGCCTTAGCTAGCAGCCCCTCCCAGCCCATACTCAGTATGGGCTAATTCCTTTATCTCAACTAACCTTACCTAATCTCTCTCTCTCTAGCGGTCCAAGAATGAGCAAGTATATATGATGCTTTACAGGGACTATGTCTTTACCTCCTGTATGAATGCTGCAAGTGAGTTTGATCAGGAATGCATGGTCAGGTAGGTATCACCTTCTTTAATAAAGGCATCGTGATGATTTCAAAAAGCCTGCAGGTGAGTTACCTATCCTCAGGCTGAGCTCTCTCCACCCCTCTCCTGGCAGAGGATGTCTTTCCATGGTTTAAGAGCTTCAGTGAAAGGATGCCTTGATAAGTCCTCTCAATATCAGAAACCTTCTCTGTTCTTTCTGAGTATTTCACAGGACCAGCCCTCGCTAAATAGCGATACAGGTTGGAACACAGCTTCATTTAGGTCATAAGCCACTAGGTGTGGAAGTGCTGTCCTGAGTCCCCCTTTTCTCATCTGTCCTTTAGCAGATGGGACAGCAGTCTCTGTGGATAGAGACCTTGCTTTTCCATTGTACTTCCTCTCATAGACAACTATTCATACCAGGTTTGGAAAGAAACATGTTTGTTACTGAGATCACAATATCCTGATAAAAATACCCTCAGACTTTGACTCCATAGCTGTACTTAAGTTACATTCTCTACTCTGCTCACTCTGCCCGCCCCCCATTAACTATATATTAAGTATCATGTTTCCTGTTAAGAACAGATTACAAAAGAATGGTTCTGGACAATACTTTGTTGTTACAGTCAACTGCTGTCTGTAGCCTCCTGAATCAACGCCGCCCAGCCCGCACCAGCCCCAGGATTACAGCGGACCCAGCCCTCGTCGTCCAGGGGGCTCTCACTGGCTGATTTTCAGAAGCAGATCTCCAGGCCTGTTTTCCTAATCTTAGTCTGGAAGCTCCACTGAAACCTGTTTAGCATCATAGCAACAAGGAATGCTCCACTGAAGATGGGTGGTGGCTAGGAAGACGTGGCACTGACTGGGAATCGAACCCAGGTCCCCTATGTGGGAGGAAAGCATTCTACCTGTGAACCCCCACTGCTGTGGCCCTCTGTTGCTTACACATAAAACATAAAACCACATGTATCGTGAGCTCTGTCACTTACTTACCACTTACCAAGAGGATTGAAGCTGCTAACCATGTGCTCACACAGGCAGTGGTTCTCAGGGGGTAGGTACAACAAATGTGTGATGGTGGCTCGTCTGTGAGTGGGGCACGGAGTCCCAGTGATACTCACATCCTTGACAACCAGTCTCCTTCTGTTTGAGCCCCTGGTACTGGTTCTTTCAGATGAGGTGACTTTGCTTTTCTCAGAGCTGCACAGTCTCCCCAGACACGTGAAACCAAGGAAGGATGGCATCTTGGTGTGGATGACAAAGACATGAAAAATGGACAGCAGGGGCTGAGGAAGCTGTGCCTGCCCACAACTCTCTCTCTCTGTTCTCCTGGCTCCTTATCGTTTTGTTCTCAGTGCCCAGCAAAGAAGATTAAGGGAGATACATTTAAGTGATTACCCTCAAGAGCTTAGGGCTCCCTATAGTGCCAGATGATCAGGTATAAAAACAGCCACTGCCAGGAACTCAAGACTATGTCAGGCTGAGACATGAATGCATATACAAAAATCAAATTAATGTCCAGAGCAAGGGGAAAATTCAGCTGCAAAATCTATGGGAATTCAGCTGTAAATATTCCCAGTATACTCAATTTCATCTGATGAGAGCATGTGCTGGGGACTCGTTTAGGTACATGCTACCTATGTATTGTATGAAGAGAAAACTCAGGGTTATGATTCTAAGTTCTCCAGCATTTCAGATCTCACAGAAGAGAGGGGTCTCAACTAAATGTCCTCAGCTTCAGCTATCAACAAAACCAGCTCCAGACCACTGTAAACAATCTTTCTTTCTTTTTTTTTCCATTTCTAGTGGGAGATTCACCCCACTGTGGCATGAAAATCCTTCATCTCATCCCATTAACCCAATGCTAATAATACTCTTTATGTCATCTTATAGGTTTTTCTGCTTTTGTAGAATCTCTCACAAAACCAGATGATGGAGCCAAATGAGCATGTAGGTAGTGGTGTGTTTTCACAAAGTTACAAGCTAGCAGGATCCTTAGGTAATTAGGGTACAATTATACAAAGGGCAACCCTGGTAATGAGCATTGGCCCTCTGACATCCACACAGTAGGTTAAATACAATGAGTATAGTCTATAGCCATGCAATAGTCCTAAGTCAAAGTGACTAAATCCACACCCCTCCTCCTGTCGCTGGGCTGTTATGTTCTAATACAAACGTCTCTTCACTAAAATTTACCCATTACATTGCCCTTGCCATTGAGTCAGCTCAGACTCATAGTGACCCTACAGGGCACAGCAGAACCTCTGCAGAGTGCTTCCAAGGCTATAAATCTCTGCGGCAGCAGATTACCTCATCTTTCTCCCATGGAGTGGCCAGTGGGTTCGAACTGCCCCCCTTTTGTTTAGCAGCCATGCTAAACCACTATGCTACTTATTAAAAGTCTTAAGACACTTTAGGCAGAATTATAGAATTGGAAAAGCCCTTCTGGTTAGCAGTCAAATGCCTTAAGCACTGCACCACCAGAACTCCCTAAAGATAATCTAGTTCAAAGGTTTCCAACTATTAATGTGCATGAGAATCATTTGCAGAGCTTTGAAAAATACCAATTCTTGGCACTAGCCCAGACCTACAGAGTAAGATTTTTTAGGGGTAGGGTCCAGGAATTTATGTTCCTATAAGTTCCTCAGACCGGGACCAGTATTTGGGAAGTACTGATTTGTTCCAGCTCCTTAACTCTGAGATGAGGAAGGCTAAGTCTCAGAGATGCTAAGTGACTGGGCCATGACCACAGAAAGTCCATTCTGACTCCCAAGTTATGACTATTTTTACCATGGTAGTCAAGTACTTCCCCAAAGGCTTTAGGTGGATGAAGTCGAGAAAGAAAACCTTACTTCTTTTGTTACAAGTTCCTATCTTTACTGCAAGATTTAGAAATAGAATTCAAGAACCAAAAACCAAACTTACATCCTTAAAGTTGATTCTGTTGTCATATAGTGACTCTTTCAGAACTTCCCCATAGTTTCCAAGGCTGTAAATCTTTATAAAAGCTGACTGTCCCATTTTTCTCCTGTGGAGTGGTTGGTCAGTTCAAACTGCTAACCTTTTGGTTAGTAGCTGAATGCTTTAACCACTATGCCACCAGAATCCCTTTCGTTCAAGAACCAGAGAACCCGAATTTGCTAGAATCCTTCTAGCCCAATGCCAGTTTTGGAGCAGCACAATGGGAATGAGGAGAGAGATTGCCCAAAAGGTGACCAAGACTAGGGTGGAGCTGGGGAAAGTGGAAATGAAGGAGTTGTCTACTACTGCAATCAATCCTTGAAATGTCTGCTCTCAATTTGGGAAATAAGGTCCACACCAAGCTATTTCCCAGAAAAGGATCCTCCCAAGGTGTTCTCTAAACACAGTCTACAGAGCAGGTAAGACGACCTGTATGTGTGCTCTCTCCTGCTTGCCTGTTTCTAAGAGCCTTGGGATATAAGATGTATATTATGTGATGGATGTTTCCCTGCTCATTGCAGAGACAGATTTTTGAGCCAGCCCTACCACAGACCCACTAGCTTCTTCTAGGGTGTTCTAGTAAATATTGGAGTGGGAGAACTTCTACTCTGCAACACCAATCTCTTCTTCCTATGGAGGGTCAGTTTGCTATTATCTCTGCTCTTTGCAAACAGAGAAACTGAGCCGCTCTATCTGCTTACATGTGTTTACATGACTATTTGTGAAACACATCCATGGACAGCCTTCACAGAGACCTAGAGAAGCAAGATACAGCAACTTTAAACCCAGGCTCTGGGGCACACTAACAACACACAAAAACTGACTTTGGAAAGATAGGATGATCATGTTCTTCAAATCCAGCATCTTCCTGACCAAAAAAAAAAAAAATTCTACTCCATGACACAGCTATTTTGTCTTCTTGGTCCCTAAGCTCATCAAGCACTGTCCATTAAAACTCTGTAACAGTAACTCTGTCTCAACTCTATGCTATCATATCAGCAGATTACATTCAGGTCACCACTGAATTTTCTGACAAGTTCACAAATCCGTATACTTAGTTCAAGAAGAAACTGTCTTCCAATAAGACAGCAAAAAAGAAAAAAAAAAATTAAGTTCAGTAAAATAATTGTATGCTAAGTAGTTTGATTAAGCCAAGAAAAGAAAGAATTGTCACGGGGTTGGCTCAGCCTCCTGGCGACCCCATGTGTGTCGGAGAAGAACCGCGCATTCCACGGGGCTGTTGATGGCTTTCAGCCGCTGATTTCTCAGAAGCGGATCACCAGGCTCTTCTTCTGAGGGACCTCTGGGTGGACTTGAACCTTCCTGCCTTTCAGTTCATCTGCATCTCTCAGGAACCCAAACAGCTTGACACATATTTTGAATTTTCGGTCAGGATAGAAGGTAAAAAACATGGTCCGTTGAGAAGGCTGATGAGAATAACAGATGTTTGCTTCTAAAGACAACAGGACAACCTATCAATGGGAGAGGCTGACCCCTTTTACAGGTAGTGGAGAGAGTAAGAGTCTAGATGCTGGCAGCTTGGGGGATGGAGCCAACATGACCACGGGCACCTATGAACTAAGTTCTTTGTCCAAGGTGCCCAGAGCTCTTAACTTAATCTCCTTCACATAGTTCAGGGTAAACACCCAGCAGAAGCTGAGCCTCTTAATGTGAAAATTCTATGTCTGCCTGAAAGCAACCTGAAAGCACAGCAGGTGAGAGCCCTAAAGAAGCCTCAGTGGGCCCATTTCTTCCACCGCCACACAGACATCACCTCTGGCCACAACCCCATATGCATTAGAGTCACAGCAAAGGACAAAGGAGTACAGGAGGTTCTGTAAACGTTTGTATTTTGTATGACAACATATCACGATGCACAGCACAGAGTGAGAGATAAGTATTTACCTTTCCCCCAAGACTTTTGCTGGCCTGCAGAGCCTACCAGATAGGAGGCCCCTAATCCAGCCAGAAACAGTTTGACTCACCTTAACAACCTCCTCTTCTATGATAAACTATGAAAAGAAACCATCACAGGCAAATTCACCCAGAGCCCTGCACCTAGAGACCCTGAACACCCCGCCTTTGGAAGAGCGCAATAAATATGTGATGAGATGAAGGCCGACCACAGAGCCAGAAGTTCGGGGGCTGCACAGATGCCTTAGCTGCTGCCCTTAATCCACCAGTTACAGGTCAATCCATGCAGCAATGCTCCACAAACAAACTGCCTTTCATTAGCCTATGCCACAACTTGGGTCTTTTTTTTTTTCAGACAAATGCACCCTGCCCAGCCATCGTGTTTAAATTATCTGCTAAGATCTACCACCTCCTCACTTTTTAAGAAAAAAATCTTAAGAGGAAAAATCACCTTAAGTGGTGAATCTTTACAGAATTCGTTTTCTACGGAAATTGTCTGCAGTTACAGTCCATAGTTTATTAAGGATAATGGGGTGACTTGCTTTTTAGTGTTTGCTTTTTGTTGTCTGTTTGGTTTGGTTGTTTGCAATCAGAAATGAACAAAGAACTTAGCAAGCCCTCTAAACACCTTCAGGGGAGCAGTTTAAGCAGCAAAACTGCCAGGCCTTGAGTGGAAGGGCTCAGCCTGAGGGGCGCGACCACACTCCCGGAGTCTCAGGCCTGGGTCCATGCGAGGCTCGCCTTTCCAGCAGCTATGCCTGCTGCCTGCCACCAGAAAGTTGAGTCTTTCTGTCCTCCACATCCTGCACCCTGGGCACTGCCTCTGCAAGCCCAGTGTCGGGGGGCTTACCCATCCCTCCAAAGCAGGCTGTGATTTTCTGGGCATACTGGCACAGGCTCCCATCTGAACAGGGTTCTTCTCCAAAGCCTGCTTCGTCCATCGCTGCCTCTCTTCCTTTAACGCCACCCTTCCAAGACCTGCTCCAAGCAGAGCAAGCTGCTGAGCCCCCTCTTCCATATCATCTCCATGAATAATTCAGAAACTACATAAAATCTGCTGAGCGTTCAGGACTGGGAGCACCAAGGCACTCTGAGGACTGATGCGTAATTAGTGCAACAGACATCAAGGGTCTCGGGTTACTCTTGGACAATACTCTCTATAGGTCAGATTTCCAAACAGCAATGAGCAGCAGGCTTGGAATGCCTTCAAGGAAGGAGCCTTCATTAGACACCAGCTCAGGGAGGGGTCAGAGGCATACTCTCAGATCAAACCCCATATCGTAGGTAAGTCCCTTCATGAATCTGGCCCATGGAGTCCAAGCACCAAGTTGGTGCCCACACGTCACGATCCACCAGGCTGTGGTCTCCT